TAGATTTAATTCTAGCTGGGCCTTAGCTTTCATAACCTGGTCCCCAGCTTCCTGAACAACATTCCTGTATTCTTCCCAGGCTGCCTGTCCTCGCTTCCAGCTTCTATAAGCTTGTTTTTTCCCTCTAAATTTCCTTAGCATCTCAATTTGGGGCTGACTTAGCTGGAGCTCTGAGCTTGCTTGTTGAGTCAGGTGCTTCAGAGCCTCTTCATTCCCCTTTAGATGAAGCCTTCCTGACAGCGATTCTTGCAGTGAGGTTGCAGTCTTTGCTCAAGCTCTGGAATGAGTCTTCCTGCCTTAGAGGCTGCAGGGCTGGGACCAGAGCAATTAGACAAGTCATTGAAGTTAATGAGTCATAGGTTATCCTGTCATGGTGTCAAGGAACTTTATGTGTTTTCCCTCAAAGCCAAAGCAAACTAAATTCAGAGAAGCATAAATGAAAGGAGAAAAGCAAGTGTTCAGGCTCACTGCAAAGTTAGTGACACATGAGGCTTGCTGAAGCCTGAGGTGGGCTGGGACACGGAGATTGATGGTCCATGGTTTTTAACAGATGTGCAGTTTGGTGGGAAGGCCAAAAGTCTGTGGCTCGAAAATAAAGGATGGATGACTGGCCTTGGGAATCCTCCAGTGGATCAGTTACTTGAATGAGTAACTGTGCAGCAGCCTGTGCTTTCAGCATGTCTACAGCTTTCACGAGGGGAGAGCTTAGCCTTGGGAACCTGCTGTCCTGCTGAGACATTGCTCTGCACACAGGGAGTCCCGCTCCTGTTGCCTTCAGTGTGGCTGTAAGGGAGGAACCAGTCTTCATTCTTTCTACTAAGAAATCAAAATACAAACTTGGTTTTGTAGCTCGTGGGAGATAAATGCAAGATAAATGCAGTCATCTGCAGAGGAGGAGTTTGTTGTTTGGGTTTTTTTAATAGTCTCATTCTGAAATTACACTTAATCACAGTTTAAATAACAAACCCAGAGATGAGAAGGCAAGTTAGTTGTGGAAGGGAGCAGACCATCTCAGACCATTCTATCAAACATTTTTATGTTCATAAAGATTAAAGATAATCAGATTTATCAATTATTACTTACCTAACTAAAACATAAGCTTTTCTCTCTTCATTTTAGTGATTGATTTATGAGCCAGTATTACCTCGGGCCAATCCTGAGCTCAGTTTTGACTATCACCTGTTGAACCTCAGATCTTTTTCATGACCTACACCATTAATGATGTTTTTAGGTATTTCCAGGACAGTCCACCCCACCAGGAGACCCATGCCCCATGCTCTTAAAGCAAGTTTAGATGCTTTTTCTGTCACTATAGCACACACTCTTTATTCTAGTCAGACTTTTTTCTCTTGCTTTTTCTCTTTCCTCTCCTAGTGGTTTTCCCAAATCACAGGCCCTTCTCTTGATGTCAGTTGTACAAATCTCTCTAGGCCACATGCTGCTTTGAGGGTGAGGCTGGTTTTAGTTAAGACTGTAATTGTCAGCAGTAGGGTGGGAGCCATGCAAGTCCACATCTGCTGAGCTTCTCTGTATTTTGTTGTTGAATTCCAGCAGTTATGCCTGAAGTGTTACAAGTTTGCATGCTCTTCCCACAGGCGAGCCAGGAGGCAAGACGTCAAATATGGAGACCCCATTGCACAATGCTGGGATGTAGAAGACAGTGAGTACTTCACACCTTTCTTGCTTTTTTGTTGCTTTGACAACAGAGTTTGCTGTGAGGGTCTCTGTATGTCTGTGAAAACTTGCTGAGCTTGACAGAATAACACCATTAAAGCAGTTGCCTTTCCCACACTTTGCATGTATTAACCCCTCTGCAGCTAAATTTGCAGAGCCGGGAATGATAAGGGACAGCCAACGTGGGACAGCACCCTCTCATCACTTATGGGCGACCCTCCACAGCACTCACTTGGGGGAGGGAGACGCAAAACCATCACACATATCCCTACAAGTAGCTAATGAGATGTGTGTGATGTTTCATCCAGAAACTGGAGAGATAATCCCACAAGGAAACCCACAGGGGTGAATGGGGAACACGCCATCTTCTCCTTTCCTGCTGCATAAACTTGACATGAGTCCCAAGGCCCATCTGCAGCTTGCCAAACCAGCCCCTTCCCTTCCCCGCAGCTACTTAAATACTCCTGTTATTAACAATAGCCTACCCCCACTTCCCTGTCAGCTTCCCCCTCCCTTTCCCACACCCTCTTTTCGGATGCCAAAGGGTCTGGCTTGCTCCTTTGGCAACTGCAGCACTTCTCTTACAGCGAGCACTGTCAGTATGAAATCCTGCGGTTACGCGGCAATCTCTGCGGCAGCATAAAATAAATGAAAAGCATTCAAAACCAAGCTTGGGTTTGTCTAGGGCTCTTCTAGCTGCTTATTAAAGCAAACAACCCAGTCAAAACAGTATTGATTGTATTGCTGCGCCAAACGTTTGGTTCAGGATGAGCCACCGCTTCCCATTGATCTCTGGTTATTTTTGTGCTGCTGCAGTGCTGGGTGCCTGCCGCAGGTCTCGGCATGAGTCAGTGCAGAAACCGGAGCTGCTCACCACAGGATCAAAGCTTTAAGTCTGTTGCACAGTACAGAGGGCTCTGATTGTACATGTGTGCTTGCAGACATAGTTAAAAAGTCAGGGTAAAATTCCATTAAAGTCAATGACAAAACTGCTGTTCATTCTCAAAAGCCGGAATTTCCTTGCTTTCTTCTTACCATAGCTCTCCAAACAGTGGTATCTGAGACTGTGCAAAGCTCAAGGTTAGAGAAACCCTAGCAGAAAGGCTGACAATGTCACATTTTCTTGGAAGGATAAAGAGATGCTGGAAGAGGTGGCTTACTAGTCAAATGTAAAATGACTTAACACAGAAACTGGCATTACTCTTTTGCCCCAGTGTAGCGCCGCCAATAGAAATTTTATCCAACTTGGGATGACTCCTGTGTGCCATAAATCCATGAAGCTGACCTGTGCCACTTCAGGCTCTGGGCTTATTTATGCCATTTACGATAATTAATAACATTATGGCCCCAAAACCTATTTAAATTCAGTGCTCCACTATGTGAGATTCCCTCTCAGAAACTTCATTGGCTGAATGAAGTTGTTTGGCTGTACTGAAATCTCAGTGGCACAGTGAAATAGAAGAAAAGTATTTAATATGGAGAGCTTGAATTTCTATAGATCTCATATAGGTACTTATTATATGGAAAAAATAATCCAAAACTGTATTCATTTTTTTGTTGAGCTAACTTTTGATTTAGGAGATGCCACTGCTTTCACCTTCCCTTCTATTATTGGCAGGGTATAAGAAACAGCTTTAGTCCAATGATAAGGCCGATAAGACACAGATAAGACAGACTGGAAAGGGAAATGGAGATGCAGAGATTAGAAATTACTTGCTCAGGTTTACAGAAGGCCAAGAATTGAGCCCAGATCTGCTCATGGCTCCTTCAGCGTTTGTTCTGAAACATCCTGCAGAGCGCATTTCAAATTATGCTGAAGGAAGGTAAACTTCAGTTTACTTTAGCCCTGTGACTCTTCTAAAGTGTTTGGGATGAACAAACCAGACCATCCAATCTACATTTAGCAGCTTTAGCTCAGGTTTAATAGTTGCATTACTTAAAGGAAAAACACAAGTCAGATTTTAAATTCCTCAAAGGTGAAAGCCTCAACTTTAAAACAGAGCAAGCTCATGATACAGATTTTATTGACCTCCTTAAAAACCAGTTGCACTAAAGGAAGGTTAGCAGCCGCCTCTAAATCCTCATAGTTATAGTTTAAGCTAAAAGTTAAGTTTCCTTTTGCTTTTTTATAATTCAGTCACTCTTGCAGCATCTGTTCTGAATCAGGCTATTTTCCCATTGCTTTAAAAAACAGGTCAGGGTTAATCTCCTGTGCCATGTTTGCTTTCCAGGCATTAGTCATGAAACTGCTGATGAAAAGGTGATTTTTGGCATTGAATTTAATTCAACTTTTCTGGAATGTATTCCTAAGTCCCAGCAAGCCTCTATTAGGTGGTATATTCAGCGCTCTGGAGAAGAACATCGAGAAGAGGTAAGTTATAGTCATCAAGGCAAGTTTCCTCTATAGAGCATTCAGCTGAGCATTGAAAGGCAGGAGTTATTGGGATTAGTCAATGTTTTACTTTTCCTTGCCTCACCTTAGGTATCACATAGCATTCTGGTATCACCATTTGGGGCATGCAGTGGGGAAGAGAGAAGCCATTTGCACTGTGTCATAAGTAGATTTAGATATTTATTTTGACTTACATGCTCATTCTATTGAAAAAAAAAAAAAAGAAGAAAAGATAAATTAGGCTTTTATTAGTGGTAAAAAAATCCAAGTAATGAAAAAGAAAAATCCTTTTTGTCCTGTAATTAACACTAACACAACAACTATTTCTGTAGGTAAATGTATGTTCTAAGCCCTTTGTTTTAATAAAGTCTCTGCTTCATTTAGTGTCTGATTGCATTCCCTTATCGTGTTAACCAGTGTAGTTAAGAATTGCATGTATTGCTTGCTGATTCTCTTCACCTCTCCCCAGAGAAGGAATATTCTGTGTTCTTGTTAGTGGAGTCTGAGAATTTTCTTCAATGTCACTCTGAGCTGGTGCAGACCTGTCAGGTTAAAAACTTGCACCTTGCAATTGGAGTAGAAAGCGGTGAAAACTCTGATGGCCCTTAATTCCTGCAGGAGGCAGCTTTGGGGTCCTCACTGGTGGAGAAGCCCTGGAGAATCCTCCAGGTCCCTTTCCTGCTGACTCTTCTCTGAGCTAGTGACAAAGGGGCCCTCTGACTTGCCCAAAAGGTCAATACACCAGGACTGGTTTGGACTGGGTTTGAATGACTTTCAAACCTTAGGAGTTTTCATAGCCTTTCTCTTACATGAGTAATTTTGTGTCTGAGGCCAAGTCCTGCTGTGATGGCAACCATGGCAACGGGGAGGGAGGAAGGAAAAGAAGTGCCCTTTCAAATGAGCTGGTCCCAGGTGTTAGATACGCTTTTTTGTTGAATGCTCATCCGAGACAAAAATTAGTTTAAATGACAGGAACTATCAAACTCCCAACCGGTGTTCCACTCTCAATGGTAATTCATCCTATGAGACTTTCTGAGGGCAGAAAATATACTGGTTCTCTCTAAAGGCTGGGGAGATGCAGGCAAGGGCAGGTGCCCATCAGAGCATCCCTTTTGGTTGAGATGTGACTCATGGCAGAAGTCCCAAAGTTACAACTCCAGTCATGTCTTGGCCCAGAAAGCCAGAGTAAGGGGATAAAGAGCACTTCTGATTTTCCACCAGATAAGACAAAAAACCCCACAAGGCTGTATATTGTCTATGACACTACGGTACTTTTAATTTACTCCTCTTTCTCTTACTCATTTTTTGGATTGGCAAAGATTCGTTCCTCTGCTGAGAATAAAAACTGCATGAATTTACAGATACAGCGCTTCCCACAGCATGCACTAAATATCAAAGGAAAGAGATTACTGGTTTGAAATACCACCTCGAACCTCCATTACAGTCCACACATGGAAAAAAAATGAGATCATCTGATCAGCTGGCCAGGCACACTCACAGCCGCAGGTAGTTGAAGTGAAAACCCAGTCAGAAGTATATCAGCCTTTAAAGACCTGTGGGCATTCATTGTTTGTGCTTTAATTGATTTACCTTTAACTGTCCTGGGCAGAAGACTCTGTGCTCTACTTCCCTAAGGCAGCAGTTCGTAAATGCACTTAACATATTTGATCAGGGAAAGCACTTGCTTAATTCTAACCATGCATTTAAGACTCATTTTTAAGTAAATTTAAGCAGATAGTTAACAGGAGATTCTTTAATTTTGTTTTAATTTGTTTTTTTGGGGGGGAGGGATGTTCTTTTTTCTTTTTTCTGAACAGGAAGCTATACTAAGTTTTGAGGAGACTCAAAATCATTGTTTAAAACAATGTATTGCAACTGTAGCATGTGCCTGAGCTTCTCAAAAAGAGCTACAAACTTTGCATAAAGCAGCCAGTTCCCTATGAAGAACGTAGTATTTCTACATCATAAGAAGTTACAATTTCAAGATTGAAAGCCTGTTTTGAAAGGCTGCTTTTGAATTTTATCCCTGTCAATTTACAGGGAAAACAGTTGATTTTCTCATAAATCACAGGTTCAAACAGGCCTCTGAAGGTCAGGAAGCCAAGCTCAAGCTATCTTTCTTATTCGATTGTAGAACAAACTGCAGGTCAAACCAACTTGTGAACAAAATTAGGGCAGGCTAACCTGTATAGCATAGCCTAAGTTAAGGCTACATTATATTTTGCCATGCTTTTTTATATCCAGAATGTTCACTCTGGCAGCGACTGCCCCCTGCTACTTGTTCTTGGCCAAATGACAGCATGGTGATGTCCAGTACTGCAGGACTGCCTAATGCACCAAGGATGTGCACACAGAGAGTAAGGGAATGCGTGCATCTGTGGGATGACATTTGAAGCTCCAGCAAGCACGCAGCATATATCTTTGCACATTAGCAGCCTTCCACAGCAATGTTTACTGGGCTTGCTCTGTGTAAACAGTCTGACATCTGTTTGTATGAGAAAAGTAAAGCTTTGCTAAAAGGCTAGATTAACCTTTGAGGCAAATTTAGAAGAAAATTAGAAGGCGAAATCTGCGGACAGATTTTCTACATTATGAATGCTAACAGTAGGCAAATAGCTTTTTACCACTTATTGTCCCTAAAGCCATAGCAGTGTTTCTGTGATCTAGCTTTGATAAAATAGAAGTTGGAGCACATGTTCTGCAAGTCCTTGGGGTGGTTTTGTTAGTTTATTTTTATATATTTTTTTGCAGTCTTTGAAAATAACAGCCTATATAAATGCATATGCACACACTGATAATTATAGGATCAGATCACTTAAAGGCAGTGTATAGCTATTAGTTTTGTTTATTCCTGCCAAAAAATTCCTACAGTAACTGAATTTCTAGTATTTTGACCTTAAGAACTTGAAGTCCTTCTTAGCAAACTCAGCTTGCACATCTTGAATCAACATAGTGGGAGATAGCACTTTTAGAAGGGGAAAAGAGAAAAAAAAAAGAAGCTCTTTTGGTTTAATTTGGGTGGGTTTTTTTTTTTAAGATAAAGATACTAGTCTGAAAGTGTCACATTTTCAAATACATATACCTAAAGTTAGATTGCAAATTTCATATATGGCTACCTAAATAAATGGCTGGGTCTGTAGATATCCAGAGCAATCACTCCTCCTATTAGATAGAATAAGGGTATTTGCAGGTTAAAATGTTAATCCTTTGTTAATTTGAGGATCCAGAAATCGAGGTTTTTGAGGTTTTCTAATTTAACTTATTAGTGAAAATTAATCATCAGTATTAGAGCCTAATTGGAGGCCTTCCTAGAAAATCCAAAGATCAGCAGAGCAATTGACTTTCTCCTTAAAGTACTTCAATTTGACAGAAATACCATATGTGAAAGAAACTGTGTGGTCGTATTTAACATAAAGCTCAATCTTTGCTCAGCCAATGCCTTACCATAACTTTTCCCATTACAATTACATTTTCTGCTCTCTCCCTCCCTTCCTGCAGCAGGTTTCTCAAGTAACACTGTGCGTTATTTTAGCGCATGTCTTAGTGGTGTAACTTATTGTGATGATGATACCATGCTTTGCAAATTACTCCATGCACCTGGAACTTAGGTTATGGACTTTTAGTTCCAGGGCTGGAATCGTAATGTCTCAGCAAGTCTTTAAACCTGGCTTTACAAATAGACGTCTTTGCACTGTCCCGGACATGCACTACAGCTTCCTGAGGGAAGGAAAAGGGCAAAATCCAGACTAGATGGGAAGCATTTGTCCCAGCAGGATGTCCCTGACATTTCACCCTTGGGGTCATGGTTCAGAATGTGACTTCCAGGCAAAGCAACCTGTGGGGAGGGACAGGATCTCCTGTGGTACAGGAGCTGTCACCAGGTCATTTTGCTGCCAGTGGGAGTACATTTCCCTGTAGTTTGGGGCTGTTTTAAGGTCAGGAGTCAAATATTTAGTGCTTTTGTGTTTAGTGTTCCTCACGCAGTTGATCACGTTTGTTCCTGTGCGTGCAGGGTTAGTCACTGAGATGAGGGAGTGCAATTCAGTGGCTAGAGTTCATAAAAAAAAGTGGAGATGTCATCTGTTCATAATGTTAAACTGTTGAAGTTTTCTGAAGCTTAAAACAGATATTTATTTCTCAAAGAAATTCCTATGTGTTATGCTATGTATATAATAGGTGTCAGGACTGCAAAAAGCAACTACATGACTCCCAACAAAGCCATTAATTTTGGTGCCCCATGGCTTTGAAAAGTATTAGCCCCCTCCTGCTTTAGGCTGTGCTTTAACCCAAGTTTCCTGCAGTTCCAGGTCTGCCAAGCTGCCACCTCTCCTTGCAGGGGATGGAACAAACCATATGGTCTGAAGTGACAGAATAGGTGCAGATCACTCTTAACTCTTTCCTTCCTGATCTATTCATACTTGGGGGTGAAAATAAATCCACCAAAAGGCAGGAGGACATTCCAGTTTCTTCCTCAGTGGTCCTCACCCTTTCCATTTTCCTGCCCCGCAGCCCTGAGCTGGATTTTCAGAGGGACCCAGTTTAACGAGCATCTGATGGTTGGTAGGTACAAAAGTTTGACCCACTTTTGGACAGGACATCTTGCCAAGCACAAGCTTGTGACCTAGCTACCCCATTAGAGCAAAGACATGTTTCCATTCCACATTTTAGCCAGACTGTGAAGACATATTTCAGTTTATCCAAAACATAAGTTTCCATCTTTTTGTGGCTGGAGATTTTTGCATCATGATGGTAACTTTTCCTGTTACAAACATCTGGTCAGCAGCATCTTGTGAATAAAGGTCAGAGATTCAGTGACAGTCCTGGAATCTGAGTTGAATGAGACCGAGGATTGAGTTTCCGGTAGTACCTTCTCTTAGATGAGTGTATTATAGTGTTTGAATCCTTAGGTCAAGGAGAAAGAGATTGAGAGTGGGAAAAATAAGAAGAGAGTCATTCTGCAGCTCAGGGACTACTTACAGCTTTCATGCTTTCACTCTTCTACTTTATTATATTACTCATTGGCTTTTTTTTCCCACTAATGCCTTGAGATTCTTAAGTAAGACTAATATTTTTGACAGTTTCTCAGAGGAAAAAAAAAAGAAGTAACTGAGCTTGGATATAGCTCATGACATTTCTGCTTTGATTTAGATATACTGGGGAGGCAGGAGTTTAAAATTTAGTCTCAGAATAAGAAGTTAGCTTCACCTTGAAAGTAATAGGAATCATGCGTTTCCATAATGGCATTGTACTAGCAATACGTTCTTCATTTTTCCTGTGGAAAAAGAAGAAAAGAGATATTAAGTTTACAGCAGTGTTGGCGTTAGATTATTATTTTCCCAGTATAAGAGAAACAAAATTATATGGAACTAATGGAAAGAAAAAAAACCAACTCAGAGTGTTCTTTATTTGTAGTCAAATGATGAAGATGAAGAAGAAAACAGTAGAAAAATACAGACGAATGTGAATTCTCAGCAAATGTTCCTCATTTTCCTTTCTCTCCCTCTCAATTTGTTCAGGCATTGCAGCTAACCCATGATTGGTCCACCTTTACCTCTTAACATTTTTTTACATGTTGATTAATGAGGGAAGGCAGGCTTTGAAGCCATTTTCTTCTCCCAGACAGGTGCAGTGTTTTAACTGTGAAAGAGTTGACATGTGAATTATTTGTAAAGAGGGAGCTATCTAAACACATCATTAGCAAAGGACAAAAGGCATTGACCTAACCTGGTGCCACAGCACTTTCAAATCCTTGGTTGTTTTCCAACTTACTGATTGTTTAAAGATTTGCCACCATTATTGGCAATGCTTGTTTCCTCCATTGTTAAATTCTGTTTGTGAAAATCAAGCATTCGGTTTGCATGGAGATATTTTCCCTTTGTCAGATATTGCCATTATCTATTGCATATGCCATAATTCAGGTAATGTAACTTTAGGCAAACATCATGAAGGATGGATAGTACAACTTGTTGATAAAACACTCTAAAAAATGTGCTCCCACTCCACGAAGAAAAGAAAGTTAATGGTAATCAACTGCTTCATTTTTGTGGTTTATAATTTGTTCCCTATTGAAAAAAACTATGTCTCTCATGTTTAAGTTTTATTGTGTGTTCAAATTTAAGCACGTCAACAAGCTTTTATGAATTGAAGCCTTTGTGCTTCTGAATTGTTAAATCCTATTTACAAATATTTTAGGAGAGTTATTGATTATGACGTGATGGGGGGACTATACACATGGACACAACGATGAATCCACAGTTGACCAAAGGAAAATAATGTCTTTTATCTAACTAGTCTTTTCATTATCCTCAAAATTTAATAAAATATGTTTTACATCTTTAGGTCAGGAACCAAGGAGCACATTAAGCATTCAAGTGAAAGGTTAAAGATCTACTACCAAGTAATGAAATGCCAGGTGTTTATGAAACTCCAGAGCCCTGTGGGGGGAAATGTAGAGAGGAAAGACAGGAAGAGTTCTGAACCTATGGGTAAAACAGCATAAGCAGGATCCCAAAAAGAGAAGTAAGGGAGGGAAACAGTAATGAAGTGTTGCTCAATACATGTGAAATCGGAGCCATAATTTCATCCTGCCAGAGGATAAGAAAGGAATGAACAATGAAGGCACAGAGAAGGAAGAGGTGACAGTCACTGTAAATCAATATCCAAGGTTAAAATAGGACATTCTGTAAGAATGCTGCTTCATTAAAAATAGGAGTCATGATGGGCTGGCATTAAGGGGCACAACCAATTTAGACTCTGTTCACTTTCTCTGTGGTATCCCAAGGCAGATGGGGGGTCAACTCCATCAGTTAACATGTTTACAACTAGAAAGTGACAGCTGCTACACAAGTGGTAAATAGTTATGAGTAGCAGGGTGCTGGACTTGGGGGTCCAGTGATCTTTTCAAGTCTAGATCTGCCATTATTCTGCCTTCTTTTCACTGAAAATAGGCGAAGCCCTGGTGAAGGCTCCTTGGACTGGCACTCAGCCAGCCAAAACAGCCAGCTGGAGTTCTTCCAAGTGTAGGAGGTACACAGCTGTCAAGATGCTCTAGACTACAATACTGGCAGAGCCACTGACAGGCAGATGCTACTGCTGCAATTGCATCAAGCCTTGAGCTCAAAGAGATCTGTCCTGTTTTCACTCAGACAATGTGGGAATTTGGTCTTTGCATAACGCCTTAGGAAACCCAAATGCCTGGAAATTAGCTGCTTCTTCCCATCTTTTCCCCTAAGTTTCTCAAACTTGGACTTCATGTTGCATGAAACTTGGGCAGAAGTAAGAGGGGCTTCTTTGTTATATTGCACCAGCCAAGCCTCTGAGCCCTCCCACCTGGGTCTTGTTCCTGTTTCTTTCTGCAGGATCCAGTACCACAAGGAAAGACCTGCCCCAGAAATATTTCTGCCTACAGCTACTTATTTGTGGATTCATGTATACATTTTATGCTTCTGTTATTGTAAGCAAGGTACATGTACTTGGAATGAACCATCACTAGCTGATAAAATTGAGGATTACTGCCCTATGCTGTAGGTTCTGGCAGTAGAAAATGGGTCTTTTCTAGTCTGTCTCCCTGCTATCTTGTGTGCATGTGCTGTGGTTTGACCATGATTTCTCTGGTTTAAACTCAGTGTAGTAAATCAAAAGTAGCTTGTGCTTATGTAGCACCTGTTGTCAGGACAATCGATTTTCCGAGAATTTCCTGAAATTAGTACGCTTTCACCCTGCTGGTGCCAAGTAGGCATGCTTATATACAGTTTACAAACAATGAAACTAAAGCTCAGGGTTGACCCAACACCATCAGCTGGTGGCAGAAGCCAAAAAATACTTGGCCACAGAACCAGGTAGCCAGAGCCATGTTCTGACCAGGATTTTGTAGCAGCTGGTTTCTTGTCTCTGCTGCAGTCAGATCAGAGGTAGTATACAGGCCTATATCCAGCCATCCACGTATCTATCTACCTACCTACCTATCTATCTGTCTGTCTGTCTACATATCTACCTTCCTACCTACCTAAAGTTACTGAAGACTGTTACAGCTCATACAGTAGCAAGCCAAAGTCTCTCTCTCTGTGCATACGTTATATATATGCATATTGCTTTTTAATGGTGATCTCCAAATGGTCTCTCAAATTATTTAACCCTTCCAAAGTCATTATTATAGAAACTTAGAAAAGGGTAAAGCTAAAAGCCCTAGGAGGTTATGTCATCTATCTCTTTACTCCAGGAGACCCTATTGTGATAAAGTACTAGAATCATAACAGATGGATTGTATGTATGTATATATTTTTTCCCATGAAATAGAAGAGGGAATCATGTGCAGATTTTTTACATAAAGCAACAGTGTGTAGCTTACCCACTGTGAATAAATCTAATTTAGTCGTCTTTATGCCTCCCTGATCTTCACCCTCTGAGTTTTGCTGCAGAGTCAGATGTGCACTCTGGGAAACCTTCCAGATTCTGTGTTGGTTCTCTCTGTCCCTAATCCCCACTTCTTAAACCCACTTCTCAGCCGTGTGCTGATGTTTTTCTGTGTTCTAGCAATGGCACCAGCAGTGCTGAGGCTGGCTGTGAGGCCTTGGCTCTGCTTCAGGCTGCTCAAGCAGCACTGGGGCACGTCTGATGCCATTGTTTTCTGCAGCCTCTGTGCGGCAGCAGAACATAGCGTGCCAGAGGTGACAGCTCCGGACTAGATCAGCATCATTTTCAAAGGATATTCTGGTGTTGGGCACTGGGAGTTAGGGGTCTTGCTTTCTACTTCCACTTCTGCTACTAATCTTTATATGATCTTTAGCAAATCACTTACCTGCTATGTTTCTGTCGTGGTTTAAGCCCAGCCGGCAACTTGGAACCACGCAGCCGCTCGCTCACTCCCCCCTCTTTTTCTTCCTTTTTAATCACATCTCAATGAGTCAAAGCCAGGATCAACTTCCTTTTGAAAAACACAGTTGAAGAAGATCAGAATCACAGCATTCCACTTTAAAATTCAGTAGTAGTATATATTTTCAGTGTAATAGGGGCTCAGCGCTCCAGATATATACAAGCACAGTGGTATATTGGATGCATTACAGATACCTCAAGAAAAGCAGTTAAAAAATTAATAGGATTTGTGGCACTAAATAGCTACCCTTACTTGGAGAATGTAGACTTATTGCTTTGTAGTGTGATGAGTGTTACTGTCCTTTTACACACGTGTCCTTTCACAGCATGTCATACTCTGTTTGTGCTGATGAAACTCACCTGTCACATTCTTCTTTTGTCCAATCCCGCAGCTGAAGGCTGACGAAAGGATCATCAAAACAGAGCATGGGCTGCTGATCCGCAGCTTGCAAAGAAGGGATGCGGGAGCCTATTTCTGCAAAGCCCAGGAGCACACTTTTGTCCATACTATTGTGAAGCTGAATTTAAATGTCATTGAGAACGGGCAAATGGAAAGCACGCAGAAAACTGAGGATGAGGAGGGCCGGGTGAGGGATTTGCTGACAGAGTCCCGGCTGAGGTACAAGGACTACATCCAGCTTGTCAGCAGCCCCAGCTTTAGCCTGGATGAGTACTGTGAACAGATGTGGCACCGGGAGAAGCGGCGGCAGCGGAACAAAGGTGGTGCCAAGTGGAAGCATGTGCAGGAAATGAAAAAAAAGCGGAACCGAAGGCACCATGAGCCAGCCAGGCCACCATCTACGTAGTTTGTAAATGTTATTTAAAGAAAGGACATATTCCATGGAAAAAAAAAAAAACCCAAATACTGTGTTCTGGTTTTGTGCATCTTGCCTATGAATTAGTACTGCTTCTTATTGAAATCAGATAACTCACCATCACTATTAATCTGTATGAGACTGTACATGGGGATTTGATACCAAATGAGACGTTCCATATTGGAGTACCACACAGCAGGCAATAATTTCAAATGCATTCATTAAAAAGAAAAGATGTACACTTTTAGCTGATTTCCAGGTAGCCTGAGGCTACATGAGCTGTGTTCTGTACTTTCTGATAACTTTCACATAGGATTTAGTGTCCGTGTTCCCATGTTAATATTTGCTGCCACATTCCACCCCAGAGGTGGCTACATTTCAGGAGAGTGCAGATGTATTTCTAGTTCTTTGGCATCTTTCTGAAAAAGAAATGTGGTAGAAATGTGTGACAGATCTGCAAAAATACCCTCTAATTTACCCATTGGGCTTGTATACAAGCACAAGGGTGGGGTTTGCTAGCACAGAGAGGCACAGCAAAAAATCAAATTAAGTATTGGCTTAGGGACAGCATTCATTCTCCCTATAAAAAAAGAGAAAGCATAATAGTTTAAGAGAGGAGAATTATTGAGCGTTACTCATTAGAGTTTGAGTAGCCTCCAGTTTGAAGTCCATCTGCTGAAAGAAATGTTGACTTTAATTGAAACTGCCACCGAGATGCTTGGGAGTAGATTTCCTAAGTGGTCTGTGGGAGGTATGTGCGTAAATCCTATTAACAAATAACAGGATTCCTGCCTGCACATCTCCTATCTCTCCAAAGGTTTGACTTTGTCTGTTTCTCTGGCCCTTTGCTAGCTTTGTTTTATGCAGAGGGAAGAAAAATAAAAGACAACAACAAAGCTAAAACAAAAGACGATGAGGGAAGATATTTAGTGGCTAAGACCAGTGCTCTTACACAGAGCTGACATTCCTCAGATGTGTGTATTCTTTGGGATTTTCTCCCAAAGGTCTTATGTATTTTTAAGTTGAAAATTTGCATTGTTGGGATTAATACTTTTATTATAATTAAATAAAACAAAAGGTGTCCATGTGTAAATAAAACCTGTAAGTTAGAAATTTGGTATATACCACAATTTCATTTGTAAAGTGTTCCTTGTTCCTTGGTTCATATTTTGGTTTTAATAGTGTAAATTTTTCCATACAAGCAAGAAAAACTGGCCTCATTCTTACCTATTTTGCATCAACATGATTTCATTGATTTTATTCCTGATATGCAGCAACAAACACAAGCTCAAAATCAGGCCTACTGCCTCTTCTCATGAGTCACAGCCCCCCTTTCCTCTCTTCCATCTAACCTCCCTCATTTTGCCTTTCACGGCTTTTTGAGTGTGAAATGACAAATTAGCCACTTCCTCACATGGAAGAGAGCTTTGATGGATACCAAAACGACAGGCTTTACTTGTTTCTCATGCATTCTACAGATCTTGAGAGCAAAGTCTGTGGGAAACCCGTGTAATTGGTGTGCACCTCATTAAGGAACCAAAAACGTTGGCTCTGAAAGTTGTAGATTCGCCCTCGCCCTTGCTAGTGTTTGTGTGCGCATTCAGTCCCTGGTCTGTAATTGTGTAGGTCCAGTTTACATCGTTGTTCATTTCCTCTCTGTTGAAAGTCAGATATGGCAAAGTGTTTGTCAGATTCAGAAAGAAATCTTGGCTTACCCACGTTTCTTGTAAAACCTGAAAGCTGAGTTTGCATGTGTTGTATAAAAGCCAGCCATACCATATGTCATTAATTTTAGATGCTTTTTTTAATAGAAGATGTGTGAGTTAATTAGGACATACTAGATAGCATGCATACAATGCTTTGATAGTGTAAAGCACTGAGTGCTAACTATTATAAAATAAGTCTGTGGGGGGGAGGGAATTTCTCAGCACAGGACCTTTAATCGGCAGAGAGAGTGATGCTGCAGACATTAACCAGTCATACAGTACTTCGAGAAAACACAGAGGACTTTGTGGCATTTTTGCTGCAAAATAATGTAGGCCAGGCATTTCACAAGAGACTCATCATTTTGGGTACCTTGATTTTAAGGCCAATTAAGACTACTTAAAGGAGGTATGGGGTAGGTATTAAACTACTACATATAAAGCACCCTGTGACAGGGATACTCAATACTCTTGGCTGGAAGGTTATGCTGACACCATACAGAACCTACCTAATTACTCTTTATTAGATTTTTATCAGCCCACAAAGTCCCATATTTCTGACCTGGACATTAAGTAAATGAGTGGAACCACACCAATGTTATGGACTAACAGGTGGTCCTGATTCACATGCACTGGCAAAGGACCTCTTCTCCCCAGTGGTGAGACAGTACTTCAATTATTGCATTTCACACAACTCTCATCACATGTTTGCCTACTTCATAAAAAGCAAATCAATTTCTTCTTCCATATTTTATTCTTCTCCATGAAAACTAAATAATCTGATTTGTGTTAAGATATGACCGGAGGTATGTATTCCATAAATGAACTCACCCGACTGACTTTAGTAAAAGTCTGGGATGACTAAGGGTCTCAGTGCTGGGAGCAATAGATTTAAATGGTTGAATTAAAATATTACTACTCTTAAAAACAACTTTCATTTCTTTTATTTCAAATGTTGTTGCAATGACGTTCTTCTTAAAGAAATGACCTCATCACTCTGGGATAGTGGTAGCATAAAACCCCAAGTGAGATATAAGGCCTCTTCCATCATGGGAAATAAATTCAATATCCTCCAAACCAGTGTGCTGTATTGGTTTCATGCCACCCCAGGGAGCATATTTAATAATATTGCATAGATAAAAGTCTGTGTTTTGATACACTGGGTAAGATGTTTTCTGTACCTGGCAGGGCTAGCACTACTCCTCATGCACAGCACGTGTAGTCATGCAAGGAGGCCAGAGGACCTTGGAGATGGAACGAGAGGTAAAGATCAGGGATCACTGCAGGAGCTGAGGCATAGTTTAGTTAGGCAGGACTCAGCAATGCAAACGCAGGAGTGGGAGCAGGAGGAGCAGTGGGTCCTTCCACCACCTGCAGTCCCAGAGAGTGGTTGGGAGGATGATCTAGGGTAGAAAATATAACAGGAGAAGATCCCCTTCTTTTCAAAGATTTCTATCATCTGTATAATTCAAACGCTCAACTCTAAGATTGCTTAAATTTCAAATCAATGATTTGGGGTTCAGCTGGGCTGCTGTGAGCTGTACTATGAGCCACAACAGGCCCACAGTTAAAATGAAACCGAGCCTTACCTCCTTCAAGAGCTCCATAAAAATGAAGTTAAATGAAGTTAAATGAAGTTTTGGTCCAGAGTGGAAAAAAGTTGCCTCCACCTTAATAACTGTAGGTTTTAAACAGATCCCTTAGTGCATATGATACAACATAGATATTTATTTACATATGCATTCAACTGGGAGTCCAATTATTAATACATTGTCTTTTTCTTCAACAAAACCTTTCCATTGACCCTACACCATCAAAAGGTCAGTGCTGGACTGAAGTGGCTTCAAAGAGATTCTTAGAATAACCAGCACAATGTGAACTGTAGTTATAAAAATGCTGAAAACTGACATAAGCTTTAAAGCCCAACAGGGCCCTAAACTTTGTGGCGTTCTTGCAGTCAGTTAAAATAAAACAGAAAATGGGATTAGCAGAAAAAGGAATAAAGTATTAACACGTATTGTGATAAACTAGTTCCGTTACTGGAAACTGTTCCAACAACAGGTGTGAATGTGTGCTCATGCCATAAGCAAATACTTTTCCAGCAGTTAAACATACATTGCTTGAGGTATCTAAGAACCTGAATACTTTCCTGTTCATAAGTAGATTTTGGACCTGGTTCTTATGTCACTCATGATGAAATAATTAGGTTAAATGCAACAGATTTCCTTGGATTCATATGCTTTTGAGATCAGAAGATCCCTGCAGTTCAAATGCCATGGACCCTTTAATCTATGGGTATTGATGTGCATTTAACATTTTAGATAATGAATTGTTATTTTTACTTATTATTCATGTCATGAGCCCATGTCTCATAATAATGTCTAATATTTATAATGACTAATAGAAATTGAGTTTGCTAATATTTTGTCATATGAGCATATGTGTATAGGATTGCATATACAAATGTCTTATTTTCTGTTTTTTGTAACAGAGGTTAACTTGCAAAAGGCAAATGTGATCTTGAAAGTCAAGGTTCAGCTCAGCTTCCACTGACAGCAGAGATTAAAATCCTTCTGGAACTGAATTGTAGCCTAAATAGATTATAATCTATTTATTGTCTGGTGGTCAAACACCCAAAGCTATGTGTTGTTCTCAAGAGTATATTGGCCTGGTTCTTCTTGCACACAGTTGTAGATGAGATCTGGAGGTCTAAGGAATTACATCTGCATGAATGGAAAATTAAGCCCACATGTGTCTCTGATATATTCTGTTACATTTTATAAACTTTAAATGGTCTCTATTGTAATATTTTACCATAGTGTTGCTAATATTACCCTGAACAAGGCTTCTGTCGTTAACAGAAGTGTGACATTCTTTGCAGTTGTAATCCAGATTTCAAGGTTTGTAAAATAAGTTCATTATAGTAACAAAAAATGAAGGCATGGGAAAAGAGTTTAATTATAAATTCTACAAGGTAGATTTGTAACGATTTATTTCTATATATCAAAATAGCGGTTATCCAAAAATGTGTTAGAAACACCAGTATTTCTTTTCCTTTTTTGGTCAGGTAACAACATACATAACAAATTGTAATCCTGATTTTCTCATTTGCCAATGTGTGGCTGAAACATCTGGTCTGACAGCTGCAGCAAGACTGGGTTTTTACTTGCCTGTTCTTTTCTTCACCAGTTAGGCCCATTGTCTCATGCCTTTGAGACTTTCTGGTTTGTCAGGTAACCCCACTTTTATATGGAGGAATACTTTGTGATTTGATGTTTCCGCAACATATAAACATCCTTACAAAGTCATAGTATCACAGTCTGCCTTCAGATGATGACTTTCCTAAGCATTAGCTTTTGCACTCAGTTGCAGATGCAAGCCAAACACTGTGAGGTAAATTGGAGACCAGATGGGGTTTTCATTTACAAAGGAAATTTTTGGGACTGTAGCTTAGAGCTCTCCTTTCTCTTTTTGCTTATGCGGTTGCTGTGTATAATTCTCCAATTTAAAATCAAAGTCGTTTGTGCTTTAAAGCATAAGATTTTCCATGTGATGTAAAAAAACCCAGAAGAACATTTCCAGGTGATTTTTTTGATCGATATGGACTGCTGGTTAATGGTTTCAAACGGTACAAGCCAAGGAAATAATTTGTCCAGCC